AAAAAAAAAAAAAAAAAAAGAATGGAGTCGCTGCCATTTCCCCCACAAATCTCACAGAGAGGGGCTTCTGTTTTCATTCCCACTTGGCAATGATCCCCTGCCCATTTCAGACGGTTTGTATGAACTGGGGCAGAAGTTCTAGTTTAGACTATAGAGCTCAAATTAAGGTTCATCTCTTAGCTACCTATTTGTGAAACGTTTTAGGTTTGTAGTGTTGTAGCTGTGACATTTTACTGTTATATATGTAACTTTTTAAAGATTATAGGCAGTACTTCCTTGATTAATTTTTAGAGGGCAAAGACTTCTTGAATTGTAACCAACTCAGAAATAGTCCAGGCATACAGAAGTATGCAAATGCTATTTGTTGAATAAAAGGAAAGAAAGCTAATTTCTCTGCAGTGAACATTAAATAATCTGTTGGCTGGATGATGACTCTCTTCTTTACAATCAAGGAAACAGAAGTGCAGTACAGGTGCATGGCTGAAGACTTTGTGTTCTGTCTCAAGAAATCCAATAGTAAACAAGGTGAGCTCTACTAAAGATTTTATTAGATTTTGGAAACTGAGCTTTCTCCTTGGTAACGTAAACTGGAATGCTCCTGTTTTCCTTGGAGAATTTAGGGAGATAGATTCCCATAGGCAGGGGCAGAAGGGCAGCCTGCTCTCACACACTTCCCTAAGGACTAGACGAAAATAAGTACCGTTTGTAATATGACCAAGCCAATGAGAAACTCAGCCATGAGCCTCTTTCCTTTTTCTCAGTGCTCCTGACCCTCGGATTTCTGTAAGTGTAAGTACTTATCTTGGGGTCTTGATACCCTAATGTAATGGGGGTTACATTAAAAAAATCATGGACAGCTGGAAAAGGAAAATGATGACCGACTGTGCTTCTATTCAGCCTGATGATAGGACAAATGTTCACTTGCCTCTTTCACGGAAACCCAGATAATGTAGGAGGAAACGATTTTGATGATGTGCAACTCCAAAATCCACCACATGAACACCTGCAGCTTGTGGAAATACTCCAGGAATTTTAAGAAGAGCACAGTGAGGCGGTCAATCACCAGGTGCCATTTGTTCCTTAAATCTGCAAAACAGGAAGTACAGACAAGAGCGTAACATTTTTAAAACATTATCATTTAAAGCATATCTTGTCACTTTCAGGTTGGAATGAGAGGCTGCAAAATAATTATAGTGGATGAATTCTAAGAAAACCAAAATCTGGAATAAGGATGATTTAAGAATCCCAAGTCATGATGACACAGATACTATAAATTGAGAGTTGGAGGGACAATGTGGCTTTTGTCTACCTTTTGATTAGTGTAAAGAAGGATTTTGACATTTCCTTCCTTCCTTCCTTCCTTCCTTTTCTCTCTGTCTCTCTCCCTCCTTTCTTTCTCTGACAGAGTCTTGCACTGTAGCTCAGGCTGGAGTGCAGTGGCATGATCAACATTATTTACTTTTCTTTCTTTCTTCCTTTTTTTTCCTTCCTTCCTTCCTTCCTTCCTTCCTT